TAGAACACATGTCTTTAGTTTGTACAACAGAATTTTCCAGATCTTTTTAAGTTTTATTTCATTTTACACAGTTCATTTTTAAGTCCATCTCTTTCCTCTCACATTTTACTATAAGTGGCAAGGAGAAACCACGCAGCCCCTTTAAGATCTTGCTTAGAAATCTCCTCAGCCAGATATCCAAGTTCATCACTTACAAGTTCTTCCTTCCACCAGATATTTGAACATAATTCAGATAAATTCTTTGCCATGGCATAAGAAGCATCACCCTTCCTCTGTGTTCATCATTTCCTTTTAAATCCTCGCCAGAAGCACATTGAATGTCTACATGTCTAGCACATTCTGTTGGTGGCACCGTGTATTCACTAAGATGATAGAAACTTTCTATGGCTCTCCTCACTTCCTTTTGAGTCCTCACCAGAATTGCCTTTGACGTCCATAATTCTATCAACAGTCTCTTCAAGGCAATGTAGGTTTTTATTATTAGGCACCTTAAAACTCTTCTAGCCTCCACCCAATTCCAAAACCACTTCCACATTTTAGGTATTTGTTAGAGCAGTGCCCTCATTTCTTGGTACCAAATTCTCTCTTAGTTATCTAGTGCTGCTATAACAGAAATAGCACAGGTGGGTGGCTTTAACAAACAAATTTATTTTCTCAGAGTTGGCTAGAAGACCTAATTCAGGGTGCCGCCTCTAGAAGAAGACTTTCTCTGTCAGCTCTGGAGGAAGATCCTTGTCTCTTTTGAGCTTCTGCTCCTGAGCAGTCTTCATGTGGCTTGGCATCTGTCTCCCCCCATCTCTATTTGCTAGCTTGCTTGTTTAATCTCTTTTATATCTCAAAAGAGATTGATTTAACATGCACCTATACTAATACTGGAACCCTGGTGGCACGGTGGTTTAAGTGTTTGGCTGCTAACCAAAAGGTTGGCAGTTTGAATCCACCAGCTGCTTCTTGGAAACCCTAGTTCTGTGCTGTCCTACAGGGTCACTATGAGTCGGAATCGACTTGAGGCATAAGGTTTGGGTTTTTTTTTTTTTTTTAATACTAATACTGTCTCATTAAAATAACAAAGAAAACTCATTCCCAAATAGGATTATAACCACTACAGGGGTTAGGGTTTATAGCACATATTTTGGGGGGACACAATTCAATCGATGACAATAAATAATAAAAAATAAGTACCAGTAAGCAAGATGATTGCAGGTTGTGATTGATCCTATAATGCAAGTAAAAGACTCCTGAGGAGAGGACTACTTTATATTTGTGAAATGAATGAGGTTCTCGTGGCATCAGCTGAACTCCCCAACTCTTTTATGACCTTCCCCTGATGACATCAGTATGATAAGTCAGTTAACAGGCTGGCTACACATTGGGCGATCAGGGTGGTTGTGAGCTGGTGGAGACTGTAAATGAAACAGAAGCAGGTAGATGGCTGAAACAGAAGCAGGTAGATGGCCTGAACAGCTCAGCCATCCTACTCTTGGAAGTACTTGGTATCCCTTTTCAGGGTAGCACTTTGTTTTAGAGTCAGGAGTTTGTCTGATTTTTTTTTTTTTTTTTTTTTGACTGTTTTCTTAACGTTGTCATCTCTCTAGCTCTCTGAGATTTTCTCATTTTCTTCTTCCTCACACAAGGTCTTCTACATTATTTAGAGTAGCTTGTGGCCACACTGCCATCAAAGAGGGCATCTCACAAGACTTTCTAGGCACTCAAAATTCTACAAGAAAGGGGTAGGTGTAACATAAGTTCAGATTGAAACTGTGAAGGACCTCTATAAAGCCAAAGGAGTCAGGAAGCTTACCCAACAGATCAGTGTTTCCCAAAGAGATGATTTTAGGAGGCAAATGGTAAATTTTTTTGAAAAAGAAATTAGTAGTAGTGTATTTATTTTAATGTATGTTAGAAAAGAAGTAATCAGATATGGTGAAGATTATGGACTCTGGAGCCAAACTGACTTCCAGATCGACCACTTACTAGCTGTCAAGTAGGGCAAGTTATTAACTCTATGTCCTTCAATTTCCTCATCTATAAATGGGGATAAAAATAGTCCTACCTCATTGGGATTTTGAGAGAATTAGATTAGTTAATATTATGTAAAGTGTTCAGAAGAATGATGAATAGTAAATTTATTATGATGATGATTATTAATACATCCAACAATTTCATGAATGATGATATTTATGATCTGGCAAAATTGTGTAAGTTTAAAAAGTAACTGGGTTCAAAGAGAAATAGTAAGTAGTATAGATATACTCAGATATGGCAAAATGGATAAAGATAGTGTGTACTAAAGTCTGGGAAATATTCCAGAAGATTGTGTCATGGAGATTTTGCCTCTTAAATATTTCTGTAATCCATATCCTTCTCTGCATCCCTATTACCACTTCCCTCTATCATTTACCACAGTAATCATCTCTCATCTGGACTTTTTAGAGAGACCTCTAACCTGGCCCCTGGATATCCTTTTAGATCAGTAATGAGGTCACTCCTGAGGTTCACCCTTCAACCAAAGGTTAGACAAGCCCATAAAACAAAATGAGACTAAGTGGGCACACCAGCCCAGGGGCAAGGACAGAAGGCAGGAGGGGACAGGAAAGCTGGTAATGGGGAACCCAAGGTCAAGAAGGGGAGAGTGTTGATATGTCGTGGGGTTGGCAACCAGTGTCACAAAATAATATGTGTATTAATTGTTTAATGAGAAGCTAGTTTGCTTCGTAAACCTTCATCTAAAGTACAATAAAATAAAAAATAGAGAGACCTCTAACCTTTCTCCTTGCTCCCCATTTTTGTCCCCCCTCAAAAATACTTTCAACTCTGCTATTCAAGGTTTCTTTCAGAACTGGAGAATTTGACCACACATGTTTCCCTGCTTAAAATCTTTTATTAGTATCTCACTTATTCTTAAGATAAAGTCCTAACTCCATGGCTTCTGATTCACAAGACTCTCCATTATCTGGCTAGCCCCTATCTGCCCGTCCAGTTATATCTGCCACTATTTCAGCCCCAGCCTTGACCCGTAAGCAACACCAAAGTGCTTGGAGTGCCACACACACATTTGTTTCTGCATTGGCTCATGCTGACCACGCTCCTTGGAGAAACTCTGGTCCACTCACACTGGACAGTTCCTGACCACTCCCCAGACTGGGATGAGGTCCTCCTTTGTTCTCCCATTTACCTAGTGCACATCTCTATCACTGACTTCAATGCTGTTTTATAATTATCCTTTGTGTTTCTGATTGCACAGTTAGAGTGTCAGTGAGTACCCTGAGGTCAAGGACTGTCTGTTCATTTTTGTGTTCCTGGGAATCTGCGTAGTGCTGGGCACTGAATGAGAAGTCAGTAGTGCTTGTTCTTTATTTTGCAGTCATCTATGTTTGATCATAAGTACTATGGATTGACATTTAAAAAAATCATTTAAAATTTTATATAGCTTCTGGTTATATCCAAAATACTTCACATTTATCTCTTCTTAATGTGTGTGTGCGTATGTGTAGAGAGAGAGAGAGAGAAATAACTTTATTCTCATGTATCCAAAGATTGGCTGACTTGCTTAAGAATTACTTTTCAACCTCTCCAGTCTTACTCTTATCTCCAAGCTCTTTATTTAGTACAGTATTTACCTTCCTGTAAGATCAACTTAGGAAATATTATTTCTGGAGGTAGATTAAACCAAAAAAAAAAAAAAA